GGTGTGGGGAAAAAGGAGTGCTTTTCCACTGTTGGTGGGAGTGTAGAATGGTACACTGGGGAAATCAATGTAGAGATTCCTAAAAAAACTAGGATTAGAGGACCCATTTGACCCAGCTATTGTTCTTCTGGGCATCTTCCCCAAATAATTAAAAGCATCCTGCCACAGCAATATATGCACACCCATGTTTATAGTTGCATGACTTGTAGTAGCTAAATCTTGGAAATGATTCAAATGACCATCAGCACATGAATGGATAAAAAAGATGTGTTTTTAAAAATATATAGAATATTATTCAGCCGTAAAGAAGAGACATTTCTAGGTAAATTAATGCATCTTGAAACTATACTCTTCCTTGCTGAACTCGGGACCTTGTGCTTGTGAGGCAGGTGGCAGAACCACTGAGCTAAATCCCCAGCTTGAAACCATACTCTTAAGTGAAATAAATTGAACATGTGTCTCTCTGGTACAAGAAACTGAATGTGTAAACAAGGACCAAAAAATATAATACATATTGTAAAATAGGAAGAGATTGCTCAAAATTATAGTGAATGTGAGTTTGTTAATAGTTTAAATGTTTTATGCAATAATGATACAGTATTTTTAGGAAATGAGTTAAGAGATAGATTTGCAAATGAAAATATGTTCTTTTAAGATCATGATACACAATGTATTTACCACTGCTATTCTTTAATTGTTTTTGTTATGAAAAATCATTATTTTTTCTCTCATTGAGTTTATTGGTACATTTTAGGTATACAGTACAGTCACATTCATTATTGGGATCTTGTACCTTTACATGACAGGTCTTGCTCTCATTTTTTCCCCTTGTCCCTGCTCTCCCTTCACCTCCTCCTCCCTTCCCTATTTACAAAGACTTCATTTCCATTTTATGAAAAAATATTTTTTCATATTAATATTTTCTTTATTAATATCTACTTGTATTACATTAAATTTTTTAAAAAGAAAGAGAGAGAGAGAGAGAAAGAAACCACCAGCTATGGGCACTATAGTTTAGACAACCTGCTAAGGTGCCAAGAACAGACCTCTGCTTCACATGTCTGTGTCTTGGAATGGAAGGAAAGAAGGTTGGGAGTGGCTTGAGGACACAGGGCTGGGCTCATCCAAAACGTCAGGCTCTCTCACCTGATGGCGACTTTAGCTAGCAGCTAGGGCCGGGGCTCTTCTCCAAGGGTCTCTCCCTACAGGCTATGCTGGGCTCCCTTGCAGCATGGTGGCTAAGGTCCAAGGGTGAGACTCCTGGGAGAGAGGGCCAGGAAGCTGCATTTATGGCCTGGCTCAGAAGCTGCACAGTGTTGGTCCTGCTGTAGTGTAGTGAGGGTCCCTTGTCTTGTTGCCATTTATGTTAGCCAGCTTTCCATTGTTGCAGTGAAACGCCTGAAACCATCAGCTTTAAAAGAGGGAAGGTTTGTTTCAGCTCAGAGCTTTAGAGGTTCTGGCCCCTGACTGGTTGGCCCTGGTGGCAAAGTAGCATCTTATGAGGAGACGATGTGAGGAGAAAGCAGGAAGGGATCTGGTCTTGGTCTTCTCTCCAGGGCATCCTGTGCTGGGGACCGAGTCTTTACCTCACAGACGTTTGGGTAACACTTGTCCAAGCCACAGCGCCACCATCTTTTCTTTAGGGTGAGTTCCCAGCAGGAGGCTCCTCCATCCCAGTGACAGTACAGCCATTGGCCAGCCCATCCTTTTGATATATCTGGTCCTGCCAAGGACACAGCTCAGGCTCAGCCTCACATTCCCACCATAGTCATGAACCCAAGCAACTGTACTCTTTGTAGCAATCTCTTTGTGGGATGAGATATAGCACATTCCTAGGACCTGGCAACCCAGGCCAGGGAATGAAAAAAAAAAAAAAAAAAAACTCAGAGGAGAAAGCAGGAAGGGATCTGGCCTTGGTCTTCTCTCCAGGGCATCCTGTGCTGGGGACCGAGTCTTTACCTCACAGACGTTTGGGTAACACTTGTCCAAGCCACAGCGCCACCATCTTTTCTTTAGGGTGAGTTCCCAGCAGGAGGCTCCTCCATCCCAGTGACAGTACAGCCATTGGCCAGCCCATCCTTTTGATATATCTGGTCCTGCCAAGGACACAGCTCAGGCTCAGCCTCACATTCCCACCATAGTCATGAACCCAAGCAACTGTACTCTTTGTAGCAATCTCTTTGTGGGATGAGATATAGCACATTCCTAGGACCTGGCAACCCAGGCCAGGGAATAAAAAAAAAAAAAAAAAAAACTCCAAGTAACTTCTAAGAGACCTAGTGACAATTTTCTGCTTGCCTACCATTTATCCTTAATAATACTACAAGAGCTGACAATGTGTTCAGAAAAAAAATATATAATTTCATCCTCCTTTGCCAAGAGAAGAGGCCAAAGAGAGAGAAATGAAAATTGTTGAGTGGACTTCTTGGAAAGCTTTGTAATAGAGCTCACTCAGCTAACTGATGCCTTTCTTGCCCCTGGCCCAGCCATTACGTCTTATCTAGACTCAGACTCGAGGGCTAGGGGAATAGCAGCCATGTTACACCTGTGAGATGGCTTTGAGAAGAACAAAATAGAAAGAAAGGGGTATGAGTGTCTTATGGCATCCTGGAGCCCCCACAGTACTTTTGAACAAACTATGTGCCTTGAGAGGGTCCCTATCTAGTTCAAGCCTCTGTTACTTTGGGATCTTACTGGTAGTGATGAACCGCAAATATTGATAGATCCCTATGGCCTCCACCTTTCTGATCAGCCTTCCTACCTCAAACTTCAGTCACCTGCAATCCTCTCTACCTGGACCCCAGTGAGCTTCCTCACACACAGGTCTGGTAAGGACCCTCTGCTCCTTGAAGCCTTCAGTGGCCTCCCAACACATCCAGGTAAAATCCACACTATGTAGCATGATGTTTGGGAAACTTCACACCCAGGCCTGAGACTGGTCAATCACTGGTCTCACTCCCAGACACCTGTGCCCTACCACTCCAAGGTGCTCAGCAAGCCAACCCACGCTCCTCTTTCTTTTCCTCCTCCTCCCCCTCTTTCTTATCCTCTTCTTCTTTTTCCTCTTCTTCTTCAACATAAATGTCTTTATTTTAAATTAAGAAATAGAAAAAAAATGCAACATTCAACTGTGCTTTGGGGAGTAACCAATCTCCAAATACACTGGAGATCATTAAAGGATTGCATGGTTTAATAACAGCAGACTATTTCTAACAAATATTTCATTCTGTACAAAGCATTGCCCATTGTCTTTTGTGGCTTCCAAAGCAAAACTATAAACATTGTCTAAAATTTTCTCTCTGTTATGAATAAAGTTCTCAGTGTAGAATTCAAACTTGAGGTGTAGTGACTTAGTATTTCCAGAACTAACATTGGCGATGTCCATCTGTCCTACAGCATCCAGTTTTACCCTCCACCTCACCATTGTGCACCAGAGCTTTAGGGACAACTGCCAGTGTGCTCACTGTAAACTTTTAATCATCCAAGAATTCGTCCTTGGGGCCGGGGATTTAGCTCAGTGGTTCTGCAGCCTGCCTCACAAGTGCAAGGTCCTGAGTTCGATCCCCGGTACAAAAAAAAAAAAATTAGTCCTAATTTTACCATTCTAATAATTATTCTTTATTTGTAATTGCAGAGATAAGATTTGGGGATGGGGAGAGAGGGGAGGACCAGGAGGGAAGAGGGAGTAAAAATAATTAAGATTTTATATTTTATATATTCACTAAGATGAATGCAATTATTATGTATAGTAAACCTATACCAATAAGAGACAAGATGTGTTCTCCCTTGTACATTTTTCAGCTTTTCAATATTTTTTGAGGGCAGAGCTACTGCTTTCCTATAATAGATGAAAATAGTGGTCAAAATTGTTTCATATATGTCGCATAAAATAATATTCGATTACTAACAGTGCTTTAGTGATTGTTTTCTAGACTTGGCATATTGAAATGCTTCTCAGGCAAGTGCTTCTTAGTTACCAGCATTCCACAGTTTACAATTTACTGGATGGTTTTTGGTACTCATGGCTTCTGATAGCTCCTCCATAGGTGCGAGGGAGGGAGGTCCTTGGCCTCCAACAACTACCTAAAGCCACCTCCCATGGGAAGCCTCTCTGGACTCCCTCAGGGCGAGCTCTTCATAAACTGTTTCTGATTTGTAGCTCCTCCAGTATTTGTCCCTTTATCCCCAGCTCTCAGCAAATCCGGCCTGAATACATAGGTGGGGAGCTAAATGGATGCTTACATCTTAGCCCTGGGGACTCGGAATCTTCATCCCTGTCCTGCTTCAGCTTCAAGACAATGCAGAGTCGGAAGGGGCAAGAAAATGCAGCAGGCCCTAGGGAAGGCGCCCCACACCCATGCACGCAGCACCCTCAGTAGCCTCTTCTCTGGGTCTAATGCTCAAGCACACCCCATGATCCATCAACTCCAGCCCCAAGCAAGCCCCCAGAAACGGGGAAACTCCAGACCAGCTCCAGGGGCCCAGACAGCGCAATCCCCAGCTGTTCATCAAGAGACCACATTTCCAGTTCCCAAAGCCCATTCCCAGGAACACAAGAGCCCATCTCCTCTGCTCCTTCAGGATAGAGCTCCAGGGCCACATCGTGTCCCCGCGATGGCCCAGAGAGGGTATGCAGGCCCAAGGTCACACATCAGTCACAAGCCAGAGCTGGAGCAAGCCCACCACCTGTGGGGCAGCTGCTCCCAGAAGCACTCGGGCACTGGCAGTGGTGGCAAATTCCAGGGGCCCCACAGGAGAGACAGCGCCTGGGCAGCGAGGAGCAAGCTTGTTCCTGGTAGTGGGCAGGGAGTTGCCAGGCCGGCGCCCACGCATGGGGCCCAAAGCTCAGCAGCCCCCTTTAAGGAGTGCTCTGCCTTCCAGAAGTGCTCCAGTCTTAATTTTAGCTTGGAGGCTTGCCACACTGGCTTTAACAAGAGGCAGGCTGGAGTTATGTGGGACAGCTGTCAGCCGGCATGCTGGGTGGGGCCTATTTAGACATAGGGCACAAATCTGGGGACCCTGCACTGGTCTCTCTGCCCCAAGGATTCTCAGCCCCGCTGGCTGCAAGGCTCGGACCTCCTGCGCCAGGGCGGACAGCTCTGCGATGATGGCTGAGGAGCACACGGACCTGGAGGCCCAGATCGTCAAGGACATTCACTTTAAGGAGATCGACCTGGTGAACAGAGACCCCAAGAACATTAATGAAGACATAGTCAAGGTAGGATCTGTGGCCCGGATGGCACCTTATGGCCCGGCTTCCTCCAAATCCCCAAGCAAGCAAATGCTTGTAAACTCCTGAGAGAACATTTAGCATAAACAAGAACAAAAAATTAGTCACATGTACGAGGCCCAAGGCCTCCCTACCCTCATGGAGGCTCCTGCCCCTGGCCTGGCCCTTCCTGGAGGAATAGGAGCTGGTAGCCAACTCAGGCTATTTTCCATGCCGGGAGGCATTTCTGCGGTTCCTCTGTGGGCTGGGGGTTAATCTCCAGTGGGCAGCTCCCAGCAGGGCTGAGGTCCCCTTGAGAGGACATATGCTCCTGAGAGCACTGCCCAGGGTCCGAGCCCAGGCCGTGGGCCATGCAGGTCTGGTGGCCAGGCGGGGTAGAGGCCTCTCAGAGGGTGCCAGGGTTCCAGAATGGGAGTGCTCATACTTGTCCAGTTTAGGGAATGATCCTGCGGCCACTGCCTGAAGCCAGGCCTCTCCTCACCCAGCAGAGGAAAGGCCAGGCTGCCGCAGCCCCTCACCCTCACCCAGCAAGCCAGGGGTCTTTCTAAAGAGAATTGCTCAGAACAGGCTCCCCAGCTGCCAGCTGTTTCTGGAGTGGCTGTGACCCAGGCTTATGGCTGGGCCTCAGTACCTCAGACCAGCACCATCCAGCAGAAACACATTATAATGCAACCGAGGTGCAATTACCCAGTGGATTTTTTTTAATATTAACAGTGGCATAGTCATTTGTTACAGTTAAGGATTGCATACTAGGCATAATTTTGTGCTACAACATTTCTGCATGATAACTGCGCGATTTACTTTTATACGGTTATCTTTTTTTCTCTCTTTGTGGTACAAGCGATTGAGCCCAGGGCCTCACGTATGATGGCAAGTGCTCTACTCCTGCACTGCAGTTCCAGCGTTTACCTTTCTAATAAATAGATCACCTTTTAGAGCAGCTTTGCTTTAGGTTTATGGGAGAATTGAGCATAAAGTACAGAGCTTTCCTACATACTCACTTGCCCTGGAATTTTAATTTCACAGACACATCTAAAAAAGAAGAATTACCCAAGCATGATGGTGCATACTGTAATTCTGGCCACTTGAGTGGCTGAGGCAGGATGATTACATATTCAAGGCCAGTTTGAGCAACTTAGGCTGCTTCAAAGTAAAATAAAAATTTTAAAGGGATGGTGGGGTAACTCAGTAGCAGAATGTCCTTGGGTTCAACCCCTCATACTGCAGAAGGAGAAAAAACAAGGAAAATCAAATAATTGGCAATCTTTATTTTGAATTTAACCCTATATATCCGAACTAGTATCATTTCAACATACAGCTGATGGAAAAAATGCTCAGTAAATAACTGAACAGTCTTTCTTCATCTTCAAAATCCAGTGTCTCATGTGCCAGTACATCTTAGTTCAGACTCCAAATTTTCCTCAGAAATACATGTTCTGTATTTAGAGGTCATAAAATTTATAGATGAAAACAGATTCACATGCCCAAATTGTTCTAAGCATTATTAAAATTTTTTTCCAATAATGGAACCGAATATCTGTTTTTATGTTGTAATTAAAATTAAAAGGGATTTAGGACTCAGTTACACAGGCACATCTGAAGTGTGCCAGGCTTGCGGCTGCTGGACTTGACAGGGTGGCCCAGGGCCTCTCCATGTCCTGGCCTGGTGTCACAGCCCCAGGCCATCATCCTTTCCTGGTGCCTCACAGGCAGGAAAAGTCTTACCTCTCCATGTGGTTTCCAACTCAGTTCTCCTACCCGTTTTGCTGCCCCACCAGAACACACCCTGCCCTCTTTGTGGTGAAAGCCCCTCTGCCTTCCAGGCCCAGCTCAAAGCCCACCTCCTCAGCAAGCCCCCCAACAACTCCAGGTGACCTGCTGCCCTCCTCAGTAGCCCTCTCCTGGGGTCCTCGTCCACACAGTTCATGTTATCTGCGTGCTACAGGTGCACAGGTCGCACACAGAGGGCCAGGCCCATTTGTCAAAGCACAGGGGGAAACTAGGAAACAAGTTTTGCCAGCTGTAGAGCACTATATACATGCAAGGCAGCATCAGTCATGGTTTCCACAGTGAGGTCTAGCGGGAATGCTCCTGGACTCCATTTCAACAGAGCTGATTTCAAATCCAGACTCTTCTGCCTAAAAGTTAACGACACCAGACCTTTCGCCTCCACTCCGCACAGTAAAATGGCAATCTTACCACTCACCTCCACAGAGATCTGAGTCTCAGAGCAGCCTGAGTCATAGTGGGTCAGGGAGGATGGGCTGGGACAGTCCTTTTCAACAGCAAAACCACAACAAACATGAGCTGCACAGGGACCTCGGGAGCTTGCAACGAGCGGGTCACAGAACTGGGCCACTGGGGGATAGAGACAGAGTCCTCAGGAGAATGTGGCTTCTCAGGAGACCACAATGGATGCCACATATAGACCCTCCCTGAGTTAGAAGTGAGCCAGTGCCAGGCCCCAGGCCCAGATAATAATCCACAGAGTGGGTAGGGATAGCAGCACAGATGTCCAGCTTTATGCAGCCTCTCTGGGGCTGATAAGTGTTCTTTCCTGTGGCCTGGTGGCCGTTAGCCACAGAAAAACAGCTTCCAAAGGCTAAAAAAAGGTCCTGCAAATGACTTTGTCTAGAAAAGATTGTTATTTGGCACTGGGTGGGCATTCCTTGGTTTGTAGAGTTATCTTATTTTTTTTTCTTTATTCTGTTTTTAATGAACCCGAAGTGAGAAGTTTAGAAATGTAAAACAAAGATCCTAAAATAGAGTCAAACAAATGGTACTGGTATAGTGGACAGGTTCAAGGTGACTTCAGAGTTTGGTTATAGTCTGACAGAGGGTGGAAGGAAAGCAGAGGCTGGCTAGAAGGTATGGGCAGGGGCTGCGGGACAGGGCAGCCTTCTGGCCACTTTGGGCTTCTGTTGGCACCTGGGGAAACAGCACAGCAGAGGGACAGAGGGAAAGGAGAGAAGGAGGGGAGACAGGGCCAAGATAGGGGCCAGAACAGTGCCTTGGGTGGCTGATGGCCTCATGGTAGCAGCAGGGTCTTCATGGGCTAGGAGAGTGACACAGAATGGGACCCAGCTACAGGGACATTGGCTCTGGTCTCTATCCTGACAGTTACTTGCTATGGACTCTAGGAAAGCCCCTTCCTCTGGGCCTGAGGCCCTGGGGCAGGTGGACAAGCAGGAGATGCTGGCCCCTTCATCACCAGCTGCTCAGACTTCACACCAAAAAGCTGAGGAAGAAGAGGAGGAAGTAGACCCGCTGTGTTCATGGCCTTGACCCTGCAGAGAGCGGCACTCTGCTTGGCACTGCCCTTGAACTCAGGTTGGTGAATGAGTACTGAAGGCAGGGAGAGAGCCCTGTACTCCCAGTGGATTTAGACTGTGGCCTCCAAGCCTTGGGGCTGGGCACAGGGCAGGGCAGAAGGTTGTGGAGCTGGAGTGCATACCCCATGCCCTTTTCCACCCACCTTCGTGGCCACCAGGGACTCTTCTCACTCTTACCAAGTACCTGCTGTGTGCCGGCATGGTGGTGTCTCAAGGGGGAAAGTATAAGTCAGCCTGGCACTGTGCTGGGCTTGGCAGGAAGCAAATGCATGCTGAGCTCTGGGCTCTCCAGCCTGGCAGTGGGTACCCTGAGGATACCTCCTTCAGACCCAGGTTATAGAGGCTCCAGCCCTCTTCCCTGTGCACGTTCCAACCCTAACCGACTAATTAGTGAAAGGGAGAAATAACAGAAAGCAGCCAGCCCTCCAGTTCTGTACACCCTGATCCCAGTGTGGGAAGATCTGGGATAGCCTGGCCCAGATGGAATTGGCCTCATATCTCCCCTTGGAAAGAATCCAACCTGACAGGGACAGTGGCCAAGAAGAAGGAGGTCACACAGAGGAAGGTGCTAATCTACACTAGTGTTAAGTGGAGGGTTGCAGGAGGTTAAGGGAGGAAGAAGTTCCTTGCATCTGGAAAGAGCAAGAGCCAGCTTCATGGGAAGATGGTGTCCAAGTTGCATTTTTTAAAAATGAGAAAAAGGCAAAATGTGGGACAGAGGGACAGGCTTTCCAAGAAGAAAAAGCTTATGCAAAGGCATAGAGGCTTTTTGCAATACCACACAGAATATTGAGCAGGGTTGGTGAAAGTCTGCTGCTCCTTCCTTCGAGCACAGCAGACATTACTGTTGGATCACCACACATCTCCAGGTAGCCAGGCTCTGTCAGTGGCTCAGGGCTCACACACCAGGTGAAACCTCTTTGCTGCTCTGATTGCAGAATGATGAACTGGGGAATAAGAATAGGACAGAGCACCTGAAAGGGAACATGTGGGAGAGAGAGCCCAATGAACAAAGACTCATCCAACCAACCGGTGATTATACAGTGCAGTTCTGTCCTTTTGGGAATGTCTTGCCCTCGTCAGTGATCCCTAGGAAGGAATACACAGGACTAATTCTTACTGAGGGATCATGGTTAGTGTCATGGGCACTCCTAGGAATCAACTGATCTGGAAATTTTCAAAACATGATGCACTTTCCTAGGACACTCGTGAGAGTAAGGCTCCTGGGCCCCCAGAAGTCCTTAAGCAGCTGAGATGGGAATGTGTTTTACTCTCATGCCCAAGTGTCATAAGCAAGTCCACGTCCACACAGAGAAACCGTGTCTGGAGTCCAGAGTCACCACCAGCTCTCTATAAAAACACAGGCTCGCAGTTACTGATTGCCGCATAACAAGTTTGCCTGACAACCATTCACAATCACTGCAGTCTACAGGCTGAGGGACCAGCTGGGCAGCCCCAGGGGCCTCAAGGGGTCTCTCCCACAGCTGCAGTCATGTGGTGGCTGGGGCTGAAAGCCCCTGGTGGCTCCACTGAGCTGAAATATCTAAGATAGTTCACTCATGTGCCAGGCCATTGGCCCTGGCAATAGCAGGAGAGAAGTGGGGATGGCTGGGCCCCCAGCTCCAGCAGCTTCGGCCCTCTCCTTGCTTGTGACCGCTCCACCAGAGCAGGGTAGCAGTGGAGCTCTAGAGCAGGACGTAAGAGCAGACTCCTAACACCTCTGGTCTCTAGGACAGGGTATAAAAGTGAACTTTAAACGTAGTGGCTCAGGGTTCCCCAAAGCAGAAGCTGCCGACCTCAAGGATTAGTTCTGGAGCTGGCACAGCAGTCCCTCTGCCCCACTGTGGCGGCTACAGTGAGTCCTACAGCGGGCCCAGACTCAGGAGGGGCTGAGACTCCCCACATGCATCAACAATGGTAACACTAACCCTTGAAGTCATCTCTACCCACCAAAAGCTAGTGCACAGCCTAGAAGTCTATCAAAGACAATTCTGTTGCTCCCCATCCCAGCTTGCAGCTGCTCTGCAGCCGGCACAGGCTGAGAGGGAAGGTGGGAGGATGGAGGGGCCCAGCCCAGGGCAAGGAAAAGGATTCACCAGGTGCAGGTGGGGCTGTGCAGCTGCTTCTCAACTCCTTTATGTGAATGCAGCTCTCCTCACTCCATAGCCTGGGGTCCTTGGGTGACACAGCAACCCCCCCCAGGGTGCCTGCTACCTCCTGCACTGCCTGCTGGGCCTCAGCTCCTGCCAGGTACCTGGCCCCCCAGTGACCCGGACACAGAGACTGAGGCAGACGCAGACACATCCTGTAGTATCAGCCTGACATGGGGTTCCTTCTCCTTGGTCCTCACATTCTGGGTATAGTAATAGATGCCAGACACACAGCCGGAACTGACACTCACACATTGGAGGTTCTACTCTGGTTACCCCTGATTTTATAGAATCTTATTATTGTTTTTACTATACCTAACAAAAGAAGCAAAACTTTGCCATTTTTAAGCTGTTTCTGCACCTATTGCCTAAGCTTAGCTTCTGATTTCATAGGGCCAGTGCTTCTCACACTACCCGGGGAAAGGGCCAGGTTTATTACTATTATTTCAATCTGCCATGCACCAGTACTTTTGTAAAATATAATGAAAATTAATAGCTAGGGAAAATGGGATTGCAAACAGGCATGTGAATACGAGCCCTAACTTTTATTATTATTTGAAGTGAAATTACTGCCTCAAATTCAAGACTTGAAAGGCTTTGCTCTCAAGTTCTGTACTCATTTGGTCAGGTAAAGGATGGAAGAAACGCTCAACATGGACAACTTTTTAAGTAGCCAGTTAGTAGGCCAGGAAACGGGAGCCTAGCGCATCTTCGCTGCTTGCTCAGGTCTTCTGACTCCAGAGCTAACTCTGTGCCTCTATGAACCTTGTTGCCTTCCCCTCGGGGTAGAGCAAACAACCACAATAAAAACCCCAAACAACAAACCCAACCCAAACCAAACCCAGGGGCCCAGGAAGGGAAATTATGAGGCTTGAGTCTCACAGTAACTCGGTGACCACGCAGAGGCAGGAACCGCAAAGCTGTTTCCCTCAGCTGGAGCTGTCCTACCCAAGATGCCCAGGGCCAGAGATGCCCAAGACCTGAGTCACACAGGACTCTGGAGCAGTGTTTTTGACAGGGGCGGCTGCTGGCCTTCCCCACATCCTCCTGCACCTCCCTACCCCTTCAAGGGCTGCGGGGGCTGTACTGGCTGGTTTCCATTCACCAACTGCCTCTCTTGATGTTCCAAAAATAAATGTACCAGAGAAGGGGACACTAATTGAATGAACAGCTATGAGTCTTGCTCTCCTACCCTCCGGCTTGTCTCCTTTCTCTAGCCATACACAAAGCCGGAGCTAACCTGCTGGATCAATCCCCTCAAACTCCCACCCTCTCCTCTTTGCTTCTGGAAAGGAATTAAGGGACGAAGTCACTGTGCTTCTGATGTACACTAGAAGGGTTCCTAGAGCTGGGTGAGCTGAGTCTTATAAATATCTCCCCAAAACGAGTGCACTGTGGCTAGGTTTCTCTCAATACTCAAACCCAAATTACAGGAGCAGCTGCCTGCCTCCTCCCAGCAGGGCACAAACCTCAGAGAGCACATTTTCTGATTCACAGAAAGCAGTGCAATTGCCCAAAGGAAATCCTTGGAATTGGCTCAAATGCCAGACCCAACAGTTTCTGTGAAGACATCATAGTTAAGACACTTCAGATAGATCCTTAGATCCTTGGGGCCAATTTATCAGGACAAGCAGAAAATGAGGGAAAAGAGGATTCCACCCACTTGATCAGCTTAAACTGAGACGCACAGACAGACATTCACAACTAGGTAGCCTGAAGAATCATCCCAGGTACAATCTGAAAAGTCAGTAGGATTTCTGAGATACATCTTTGTGGGAATGTTAGAGGACTTGAACAAATGACTCTCAACAAGCACCTACACATGCTAGGCATTGTACTAAGCTCTCCCCAAGAGGTGGGGTTTCTCTAAAACTCGGGAGGTTCTTAGTGAATATTCCTTTGCTTGGATGGATGGGTGGGTAGATGGGTGGATGGAGAGCAAAGAGAACGGATATATATATATATATATATTTTTTTTTTAATTTTATATTGGCACCTGGGATTGAACTCAGAACGTTGTGCTTACAAGGCAGGTGGCAGAACCACTGAGCTGAATCCCCATCCAAAACACATAGATTTAATAAGGTGGAAAAACTCCAAATTGGAAAAAAGCTTGTTGCTTTGGGGCCTGTGGAAAGGCAGCCACAACATGCAGTAGAGCAAAACTGTTCACCTTTCTGGGCAGGAAGGAAAGAGAGAGAGAGAGAGAGAGAGAGAGAGAGCAGGCCAGGGTCCCACCCTCCCCTTCTGAGGATCAAGACCTCCCTCTCCACCTCCCAGTAGCACAGCCCTGGTACCAAGCTTTTCACATGGGCCCTGGGGAGAGCTCCACATCCAAATGGTAGCGCTGCCTCTAGTTTACTGTTGGCTTTAAGCAAGGCACTCACCTTGAGGTCTGCTTATCCACCCATGACATGAGGGGTTTGGCGAGCTCTCCGATGTGCCCTGCTGGGGTGAGGCAGCCATGCAGGGGACCAGTGCTGGCATCCCCAGCCCTGGAAGCTTATGAGAAGTGCAGCGTCCCAGCTCACCCAGTGCTACTGAGTCAGAGCCTTCCCGGAATGGGACGCGGCCCTCCGGGCTTGGCCGGCCCCCACGGGATTCTGTTGCCTAGCGCAGAAGCTGGGGAAGTGTATGGATGCTGTGGGTGACGGGCCATTCCTTTTCCTGCACCTGCAGGTGGATTTCGAAGACGTGATTGCGGAGCCCGTGGGCACCTACAGCTTTGACGGAGTGTGGAAGGTGAGCTACACCACCTTCACTGTCTCCAAGTACTGGTGCTACCGCCTGTTGTCTACGCTGCTGGGCGTCCCACTGGCCCTGCTCTGGGGCTTCCTGTTTGCCTGTATCTCCTTCTGCCACATCTGGGCAGTGGTGCCATGCATTAAGAGCTACCTGATCGAGATCCAGTGCATCAGCCACATCTACTCCCTCTGCATCCGCACCTTCTGCAACCCGCTCTTCGCCGCCATGGGCCAGCTGTGCAGCAGCATCAAGGTGATGGTGCGGAAGGAGGTCTAGAGCCCGGCGGGAAGGCGGGCAGCAGGGCTGTGTTCAGGCCAGGAGCCCCTGGCGCTGTCCCAGAGGGTGGGCGAGCTCCTTCTCCTTAGTGACTGCTCCATTCCCCCCACCACGCGGGAGCACACCCTGTAGGGAAGCTGGAAAGGAGACACACGGCCCTCACTCCGCCCAGCCCCGCAATGCCCGGAGCAGCCCGGAGGAAGACGGGGCGCTAAGAGGCAGCTATGCAAGTCTTTGCATTCATGTGCACTGAGAGGGCGTGAGCCAGCTCGGGTCCCCTGTCCACACAGGCCCGAGAAAGCCACCAGCGACTGTGGGTGTGAGGGGGGCCCCAATAAAGGTTTCGGCTGTGTGGGAGCCGTGTGTCTTCTTTGTATCCACAAGGTTGCAGTGGGTCTGACCACTCACTGCCCTGTGTGCAGCAGCAGGAAAGCTGCTCAGTCTCTTTCCCAGGCAAAAGAAGGCTCAGAACCAAGCACGGCTTTTCTGGGACTCCACTTATTGCCATTGCCTATCCTCGCTGGGAGATTGTTTCCCAATGATTTCTGCTGGCCTTGAGCCAGCAGATGGGCATCAACCATCTGGTTGGGAGGGCAGGGGCACGGGATACTGGGGTACAGGGCCAGGCCTCAAACCTCCCAGGAGCCCCTAGCACCTACAGCCTTGCCCCTCGACGTTTGCAACCACGGCCATAAGAGACATGCTGATGGCCACAGCCCAGTGCTTGGCTGTGTGGCTCTGTGGAAACGCATATAACTTTAGAGATTTTCAATAGACACGGACGCAGTAGGGACTCCATCCAGTTCTGCAATAAGGAAACCACTTTGGGCCACTCCATCCCCTCATCCTATTTCATATGTTTTCTTTTTCTTTTTCTTTTTCATGCAACACCAACTTAAGTCTCATGAAATGAAGCCACTTTTCCAGGTTTGGAGGGGCATCATCCATTGCTGCTGGTCATGAGCCCAGGGTCTTGGGGGGCAGCATAGCGGAAAGGACTGCACAGACTTGGAGCTGGGGCACAGACTACCGTCCTGTCTCTGTTCTGCCTGCCATCCCTGGCCTAATTTTATCATCCACAAACCATTTCTATTTTCCATTTAGCTGTAAAATTTAGCCCCATTTCTGCTGTTTCGAACATCTTGTGGAATCTGTACACCAGACAAAGTTGAAAGAAACAGTGAACTCCAATATGCCCATGCTCTTGGGGCTTTATCACATCTCTGTCCAGCCTCCCTTCTAACTATCTACAATCTCATCTTAATGCTTTTAAATGAGTTGCAGATATCAGTACGCTGTATCCCTGAATGGTTCATCATTCAATGCTTGTTTTTGTAGATGAGAAATTTACAGTCTAGAGAGGTCAGCAGACTCCCCAAAAGGTGTGGAGCTGGTCAGTGTGGCACTGTGGTCCCAGCCTGCTTCTCTGGGCCCTCCCTGGGGCTCCTTCATATTCTCTATTCTCAGCAGGCCCAGGTCCTCCTCCCGGAAAGGATTAGCCAGTATCACTTATACCTTCCTTGAAGGGCCTGCCCTTTCCAGCATCCCTCGAAATGAACGAACCATCAGTTTCAGCCTTGCAATCTTGGATTAGGCAAAGATTTTCACCATCTGGGTATTGCCATTCACCGGACTCTGACTCCAACCTTTCAAGCCCACTCTTTCTCTAAGGGCAGTCTACAGCAGGTGCTTGATCACCTGCTCACAGAACTAGAGAAAAGACACATAACAGAGATGCACATGTATGTGAGGTCTGACCCTTCCTAGGGTCCCCTTGAGGAAGCAGCATGCAGAAAATCATGTTATGGGTACACTGGGAGTGGGTGGAGGAGGGGGTCACCCTCTCATGCACTACATATATATGGTGAGGGGCTTTGGTTCAAAATGCAGATTCTGCACCCCAGCTCTAGAGCCTGACTCAGTCATGGGGCCCAGGAATCTGCCTTTTAACACAATTTGTCTGTGATTCCACAGGCGATCCCCAAATCTCAGTTTAAGAGATATTCAATAAGGACTCTTCAAAGTTACAACCTAGACTCCTAGACTATGACACGCAGTGGGGTTTGTTCTGGAGTCTTCCAGCATCTCTCAACAGACAAATGAATGCACCGAGACTCTAGAGAACAGGACCAGGCCCCCTTTGTTCCTGCCTTAGCCCATGCACCTGTCATCATCAGACAGGTACTGCTGAGGCCTGCCGAGGGGAGAAAAAAGGCAAAGCAATATATGAAAAAAATGTTTATTTAGTGCACCTTTTACAAAGCAGGAATCTCAGGATTGGCCACATCATTCACCAAATGGCACAGTATACGCAGTGTGACCACAGCAGAAAGAAATCAAGGAGCCACACTATGTGAAGTGGCATTTTGTTGCAATTTAATACAAAAGTGAAATACTCTGGAAACAGGATCTTCATCAAACCTGCCAGCATTTCAGGCCTCCTATGGTTCCTGAAGTGGTGACATGCAGGCTCATCCCCTAAGGAGGCCACATTAGATGACAGATGATTTTTCAGGGCCTAAGAGAAAAAGGCTTGGAATCTATGTATTCACTTTTTTCCCCAGTGCTGCTGGGTCTTGAATCTAGGGCCTTGCACATCCTAGGCAAGTGAGTTACCACCAGCTGCACCCTCAGCCCTTTTATTTTAATTCTGAGACAGGGTATCAGGCTGGCCTTGCTGAACTTGTGATTCTCCTGCCTCAGCCTCCATCATGCATTACCACTACTGGCTACAGATTTACTTTTGATGATCCTCTGTGTGTGTGTGTGTGTGTGTGTGTGTGTGTGTGTGTATGTGTTGCAGTGCAGAAGGAGAAAGTGGGTTATGAAGAAAGACAATGGATCTGTGTCCTCATCTTGTATCTCAGAAAATCCCAAAATGTGTCTGGATATTAAAAGAGGCTCCTACTAGCCAACTAGTCCCAGCCATAAAAGTCCCTCTGATCAATAGTGTCCTAGGTTCGATATCTATGGGCCACTCTTGGGCACAGCCACATTCTACCCTGGAGGCTGATAGGACATCTGCAGGACAAGCCCATCTGATCAGCAAAACCTTGGAGACCCTCAGTGAGCCTCTGTCCTAACTAGCACAGCCATCTGAGGCTACCAAGCATCCCTGGGCCTTTCTGAAAACAGGATCAGTGTCTTCCTGCTGCTCCTCCTGGCCAAGGTGGAAATGCCCACTTTTGCTGAAGCTCAGAAGTGGTGAGTCATATAAGACACAGGTGCTAAGGGAGGTAAGCGATTCCAAGGAATTCTCCACCATACTGCCTTCTGGATTCAGCTGCTGAACATATTTGTAAGGTTTAAACATTCACTTCAGTGTTTTTTAATGTGTTCTCAAAATTGGACACCATATCACTAATTCCAGAACACCCCCCATGACCCCATAACCTTAAGCAAACATTCCTCATTTCCCCAAACCTCCAGCCCCAAGTGCTACTCTCTGTATTCCACATGTGTGTATTTGCCTGTTCTGGAACTTCCATAGAAATGGGTCTGACAGTACAAGGAGTTATCAAGACACATGATGCTTGAGTTTTAAAAATTTCAGTAAAGGCCACATTGCCCTTAATTCCCTTCACAATATTACCCTCCCCTTCAAATATACCGATCTGATCACTCACATCACTTTTAGAAGTAGTTTGGAGTTCTCACAAGCTATAATCAAAACTATGGCGAGTGGAGTTGCTGTTGTCAAGCACCATCCACAGAAACAGACTCTCAAAAACACCATGTCCTCAGCCGCCTTATCCACTACATCTGGCTCTGCGAGCCTTCCGGCTCTTCCCCAAAGTCAAAACGTTCCTGAAAGGTTGAATGTTTTGAGTCCATTCAGGCACTAAAGGCTACCATGATAACCAACTAAAGATACCCACAAAAGACTTCCAGGACTGCTTCAGAAAGTGGCAAAAATGATGGGGTAAGTGTGTCTAAAGGGAGGGGAGTGTTTCGAGGAACATTGATTGCAGTGATCTCTTATTGTAATCAATTCTTATGAACTTAAATGGTCGCTGTACTTTCCGACCGTAACTTGCATATGGCTTTTTGCAACTGGCTTATTTCACGTGACATAATGTTTTTACAGCTCATCCACATTATAGCATGAATCAATATTTCACTTCCTTTTATAGCTGAATAATGTCCTACTGTGTAGACATACCGTATGCTATTTATCACTTCTCAGGTGATAGGGATTCGAGTACTTCCTCTGGGAGGGAATGAACACTGGTGCATAGAGGACCAGAGGAGAACTAGGGCCTAACTGGCCTCCCCTGTGAACACAGAGGAGCAAGGCTGCGCTCAGCGGTGACGGCACATTAGGGAAGGTTAAGAAACTGAGGTGAAGTTGTTTATCAGAGAAAGTACTAGTGGGTGTTGGAAACCAGGTGAATCCGTGTTACTTTGATCGCTTGTACCTGTGTCCTGGTGAATAAGAGCGAGGTGAGCCAAAGGCTCAGGGCTCCTCTGCCTGCTAGAGGGACAGGGCCCCCTGACTCCGTGTCTCTTTGTCATTCAGCCCTGTTAGCCCTTGGGTCAGGGGTCAGGGAGGAACAAAGTGGCTGGCCCTAGAGCAAGGCCGGCCTGGTGCTGGCTACAGGTGGTCCCCAGCATGTGGCCAGGTTCCCAGAGTCACCTACATTGGTGTACACATTTTTCACTTCTTGTGGGTAAATAACTCAAAGGGCAGCTTTTTTCCTACAGTAATTCCATGTTTAACTTCTGGAGGAACTGTCGAACTGGTTTCCGCAAGAGCTGCACCACTTACATTCTTACCAGCACATATAAAGATTCCAACTTCTCTATATTCTTGTGAACACTTACTATGACCCATCCTTTTGATTGTAGCCTTCCTCGTGGTTGCAAAGTGAAATCTCAGTGTGTTTTGACTTGCCTTTCACTAATGAATAAATAATGTAGAGTATCTTTGCATGAGCTTATTGAGCACTTTCATATCTTCCTTGGAGAAATGCCTAGCCAAGACTTTTGCCTGTTTTTAAATTGGCTTCTTTTTCTCATTTTTAAATAAATGCTAAGGGTTCCTATCTCTACCCTTTAATGTATTGTATTGCTCTAGATGTCCGTCCATACTGTTCTGACTACTATAACTTTATAGTAACTTTTAAAATTAGGAAGTGTGTTCCCATCAATTTTGTTTTTCTTTTCCAAGGCTTTTTGGATATTTGGGGTTCCTTGCATTTCCTTGTGAATTTATTGCTGTTGTTGTTTTTGTGGTACCAGGAATCAAACTCAGGACCTTGCACTATCGAGGCAGGCGCTGTGCCACTGAGCTAAATCCCCAGCTAATGTCTCCTTATGAATGTTAAGATCATCTTACCAGTGGTTACCTGGAACTAGGTAGAATTTTAATGAAGGTTGTAGCAAATCTCTACAACAATTTGGGCAGTATTGCCATTTTAAGAATATGAAATCTCTAATCCCATGAATACAGGATGTCTTTCCATTTGTTTGCTTAATTTCTCTTAACGATATTGTTCAACTTTCCGGGTGCAAGTCCTGCATTCTTTTGTTAATTTATTCTGATTCTATTCTTTCTGGTGTTATTATAAATGGAATTGTTTCTTAATTTCATTTCCATATTGTTCATCAATATAAATATAATTGATTTTTATATATTGATCTTGTACCTAAAACCTTGCTGAACTCACTTATTAGTTCCAATATGGGTGTAGTGTGTGTATGTGTGATCATCCATATTTAAAATAATAGCATCTAAAAATAATTTTACTTCTTCCTTTCCAATTTATCTCTTTTTCTTTCTCAAATGTTTATCAAACATTACCTTCTCACATCTTCAGCCAGTGCTCTCAGTGGCCTCCTGTGCCAGGTAGTTTTACCAGACAATTCCCTGACCTAGGATCACCTTCTGACAAGCCGGTTCCCAGGGACTCTATAGGCAAAGCACACTGCATGAGGTGAGAAGGATATAGCACCTTCTGAAGCTCCATTCCCACTTCTCACCCCATGCCCAGAGCCCCAGCTCCCTGACTCACTCAGTCGTTCATCTTTTTTTTTTTTTTTTTTTTTTTTTTTGTACCAGGGATCGAACTCCAGTCCTTGTGTTTGCAAGGCAAGCAGCGGAACCACTGAGCTAAATCCCTGGCCCAAATCAGTCACTGATCTTATATCTGCTTCTTTCACAAGGTTCTATGGTACAGAAGTAAAAAGATACTGAGTGAAAGTACAGTCTAGGGGAAGAAGAACCCAGGCAGTGCCCAGAGCAGCAGTAGGGTTAGGGTAGCAGGACATGGGGAACCCAGGAAACACGGGGGTTTGTCTGATGGCTGAGTAACCCCATCATCTTCTGCCCCATGTCAGAATCCCCCATGGCACTAGAGCTACCCCAAGGTGCAGAGGAACACAAATAAGAGTACCTTACACACACGTAAAGGACACAAGGGCAGACTGTCCATGCAGCACTGTGAGCTCAGCAGGCAGCTGCCCGGCCTGGGGTCACACTGTGGATGGCTGGGAGCAGCTCCTCTGGCTGGAGCTGCGCTGGCTCAAGGCAAAGGTGGACGAGTTGCTCTTTTTGCTGACACTTGTCTCTCTCGAACGGCTGCCCTTCAAGAAGCTGGGGGAGCAGCAGAGGAAGCGCTGCACGAGTTCATGGAAGAGGTGGCCAGTAAAGAGCATGTAGATCCAGGGGTTGCAGCAGCTGTTGAGGCTTGCCAGCAGCATGGCGATGATGAAGGCGGAGGCTGCAGTGGGAGAGATGAGCAGGTGTTACCAGCACCAAGGTTTACCCATTGCCCACAGCCCCCCAGCCAGGCAGCATCCATCACAGTGCCTGGTGGTCATGGTCTACATGCTGCCAAGGAGCAGAGGCCAGACCTGCAGCCCTGGTTGGTACTCTAGCTCCCCAGGAAGCTTCGGTTTCCTCGTTCTTATCGGGAATAACGATAGGAGCCAAACCACGTGGACAGTGACAAGGATTCGAGTTCTGCGTTCACCAGGAATATCCAGTGGCTGCTATCACAACATGCCAGGCACCTAGGGTACATGGAGAACACAGAAGTGAAGTAAGAGGCACCATGACATGGGCACATGTGCGTCATGGCCGGCCCTACAGACATGCTGTGGAAGCTGGTCGCTGGCGATGCTGGGAAGAGGCACAAGGAAGGGCCCAGCAGAGGCCTGGGGAACAGACTCACATGTGAAACTGACAGCGCATCTGTGGGACCAACCTCAAGGACACAGCTCCAGCACAACAGTCATCAGGGCCACACAGGGATAAAGTGACAGCGGAGATGTGCAGAAGCTTTTAACTGAGGGCACATCGAGGTCCCCACAAAATTAATGATCTGATCAGAAATCAACTCCCAGGCATTTTTCCTTTACAGACTGAAGTTTCAAGGAGAAGTTTTTTTTTAAAAAAAAAATCTTAATCTTAGGTATTTTCAAGCAGAGGGAATAAAAAGAAATCTGAAGAGACACCTGCTGGCAACAAGGAGGTCAGGCCCATGAGGGAAACCCCAGAACCCAGAACTCCCTGCAGAGCCAGATTCTTATGAGCAAAGACAACTGCAAGGGGCTGGGGAAACCTATTTGTTTTAAGATCTGCAATATTTTCTGAGAGAGGTAAGGTGACTTTCCCAAGAAATTCTACACCCCACCCCGAACAACTTCAGAATTCAAGAGGTAATTCTAGGGAGGAACCTGGTGGTGCTGGAGTAATAATGACAGACATGCACGCCACAGAGTCCCTGAGCACCCATGGAGAAAGAGGGTGGTGAGCAACGTCTGGGTGGTTCTCAGAGTGGGACCCCAGAGCATGGCCACTCCAGAGAGCTTGCTGAAGTTATTCGCAGACCCAACCCTGGCAGCACCCAATCAGATCCCCTGGGGGTGGGCACAGCAGTTGGTCGTAACAAGGGGGGTCAGGTGAACACACTGTTTTAACTGATTCGTGCACCTGTTGGGAAAACGGAAGCAAGCTGTAGCAGACAAAACCAAAAATCTTGCAAATATAAGAATTCTTTGAAAGCAAGGGAGGGGCATCTAATCTTTATAACCAAAATAATACAGAGCAAGAAAGAGGAAATGAAAAAGAAAAAAGCCAGTAATACTATTCAGTTCTTTGGTTTTTATAAAAGTGATTTTGCAAAACAAATGGTTTTGCAAAAAATTTTGCTTTGACTTGAATGGGTAAGAACAGATGCAGTTTAGAAATTCTGGTGAAATGTTTTTGAAAATTAAAAATCACCCACAAAATTAAAAATAAGAATAGGTTCAAAATCATACGAGAAGGAGAAACAGCACATGAAAGTCAAAATGTTTAATACCATTAGGAAGTAAACTATCAGCCACAAGATAAGAATACAGGTAAACAAGGATAGAAGAGATAGAAGAAAATATCACGAATGAAGTTCATACTCGGAGAGGCTCCTAGTTGTACCTATAATAAAAAGGTACAGGATAAGTACATCTAATGTGAAAATACAAAGTCCCAAATGCTCCAAAATCAGAGAGTTCAGAGCCCTGAAATGATGCTCCCGCTGAGAAGTCCCATCCCTGACCTCAAGCGACAGGTTACAATCAAATCACAATGGCATTAGCGCTATTGATAAAACTTCACACTGTGTACATAAGGTGCAAACGAAGCACAAATGAGTATCATGTTTAGATTTGGGTTTCTCCTCCAAGGTATCTCACTGTGTATACGAACATACTCCAAGAATATCCCACAAAGTCTGAGACATGTCTGGATCCACCCACTTCAGAAAGTGTTGCTCAACCTGTGTGGTCTTACCTTTGTCAGCGGTTCTCCTCACCCTCTACATTTGGATCTTCTCACTTTTTAATCTTACGTGCAAAAAGTACAGAACAAAAAGTAAATAATTAAGGAATTCCCAGGCAGCCACACAAGTCTGTCAGCCTGTGTGGCCAGCCCGGGTGGGAGCCCGGTGGACCACAGCCGGCCCCTCTGCTCCCACCTGCTGGCCACAGGCGTGAACGACCAGCCTGGCCAGGCTCCGGGAATGCGGCCCTTCGCTAGCGGAGGGCACTTGCGGAATTTTTATTTTAAAATTTGGCAGTAACATCATCATCCAAAGACATGATCCTGGGAAGAGAGGTGCTTGAGAATAAACCACAGGGCTGTGGCGGGTGCTGCAGAAGGGGAGAGCAGCGGAGGAAAGGCCCACAGCTGAGAATCTCCACCAACATCCGGGCACTGCGGGTTATAAGCGATGGCAATGGGGACCCCAGAAAGATGGCTTGGAACCAGGCGGAGGAGGGTGTCGGCCCAGGCTACTCTTCTGGCCATGGGAGCCGTTCATGGCTTCCGAGCAGCCTAGGGCTGGATTCCGCATCCCCCTGCTTTCTGTACTTCCGGACATGGGGCCCTTTCTGAGAGCTACGGAGCTGGATAGGATTGCAGAGGAGCTGCAGCAGAACAAAACATGGAGAATATTGTCCCTGCGTTTCCTGATGCCAAGGGAACTGCGTCAGTGACCTCAGAATCACCGTCGAAGACTGCTCAGAGCAGCATGGATTCCGAAGCCATCTTAGCTTTACTTTTATAGATGAAAAGAGGGAACCCCGAAGGAGAGGGACCTTCCCAAGGGCACACAGCAATTTAGTCTGTGTCCCTACCTAAAAAGCAATGAACGATTCCTTTGAAAACCAGGTAAGCATTCTCACGTGTCAGGTTGGTCCCAGTGAGTCCTCTGTCCCCAAGCAAAACCTCAGTGGCCTGAGCAATGGCACCCATGGTGTGATTTGTGGGACAGATGGCAACTTCCTTATCCCCCAAGCAAATGTGGCCCCACATGAGATGAAGCTTTCCCGTTCATTCCCTGGTGCTGGTCTTTAAAAATTCAAGTACCTGGGAGGAACACGGTGCCTCCTATCTGATCTCCCCCCTCACACCAGATGCGCCAGCCCACTTCTCACAGTCTCGCGGCCCATGGCCCTGGCCGTGCTCACCCGCCTTCTGCACCACGAAGGCAGAACTGAGGAGTTTTGGCTGAGGCCTTAGACCTTACAAGCCTAACACTGCCCTTTACGGAAAAAGTGAGCCCGCCCTTGACTGAGATGAGTGTGGTTGGGGCAGATGTCAGAAAGCAGGTGGGCAGGGACACCGAGGACTGCGGGTCACAGGGCAAGCTCAGAGCTCTAGCAGGCCTGGGTATGAATCCTGCCTGCTCTACCACTTGGCAGCTGTGTGCTCTTGGGAAAGTCACCTCACCTCTCTCAGCCTCAGTTCCTCTGCCTGTGAATGATAAGAGCTTCTCACAGAGCTGCTGCAAGACTACGGAGTAAGGATTCCAGCTCAAGGCAAACGGCGTAGCTCAGCTCTGTCATTCTACTACCATCATGAGTCCAGGCTCAGTACTGAGAATGGAGCCCAGATGCCACTCCCGGGGCTGAGGTCGTGGGACGTGGAGGTCTCCTCACCCAGGGGAGGGCATAAGCACAGGACCCACCGGATGGGGTTCTCAATCCTCACTGCCACACCATGGTGCCTGTCCAGTGTGGCTCTAGGGAAGACTGCATGGCACCACCCCCAGGGTGGCCTTCAGGCAGATCTGCCCTTCCCCAAGAGCTGGGACTTCCTGATAGGGCTAAACAGACTGTAAGATGGGCTATTTTGGAGAGGGCAGAGGAGATATCTGGGCGCAGGAAGTCAAGAGTCCTGACACATATAATGGCCTAGCACTGGATAAGACTCCCCTTGATAGGGGACGGGGAATGTAGCTCAGAGCGTAGCACCTGTCTGGTAAGGTCAAGGTCCTGAGTTAGATTTCCGGTATCCGCCCCGCAAAATGAAAAAAGAATGCCCTGTCTCCTGCTGTCTGCCTGAGGTCCTGGAAGTACCTGACTCTGCCCAGCAGACTTCGGCCCCTCAGAGTTTGGCGGGGGGCAGAACAAGGACTCCCATGCAAGCCTTGGGGGTTGAACTTCCTCCTCCCAGGTTACCCTCTGGGCTGCTTCTGCTCTTTGAACATTGATTTTCTTATTTCAGGTTAGAGGTCACACAAGGGCACTGCAAACATGGGAAACAATGAAAAGATAACATGAAAGGACTTCATGACGGGTTCATTCGAGGCATGATAACAGTGAGGCTTTGGGTCAGAGGTATGATCACTGTGGTCATTTATTAAAGTCCAAGATCAGAGACTTCTGATCATAGATCAATTAAAGAAACTGTCTTTGGCCCCTTTTCTTCTAGTTCTTGTCAAACATTAAATTAAAGAAAAATAATCCTGGGACTGGGCAATGTGACAGGAAAAAACAATGGCCCTTGGCAGTTCCCTTTGGGGAAAGCACACTGCCAGTGACCTAGGAAAGCCCACAGCTTATACCTGGGCAAGTGCAGGATTTCAGGGTCATGCAGGGAAGAGGAAGAGCAGCTCTAAAATCACATCCTGCTCACTCCCCTAATGTGACAATCACACCTCTCCTGTACCCAACCCCAAGTCCACACCCAGGTGTGGAGGAGTCACAAGCCCCTGTCCTCAGGGGACCCACCCCACTCTGAGGAGGGAAGGAGAGAAGTCAAGAGGCAGTACGTATTCTGCCGGCAGCAGGCAGGAGCAGGGCGGGGTGAGGGTGGTCTTCAGAAGGGGCTCCTGGGGGCTAAGCAGCCCCGTGGACAGACACAGCCATGCAGCACAAGCAGACAGTTCACTGAGCTCTGCTCTTGCGGGGGGATCCACCCTTCATTTCTTCTCAGCGCGGTGATTCACAGAGTGGG